TGAAGTTGAGGGTAACTGGCCGCATATGGAAAGAAGAATGAGATGGAAAACCGTGTAGAATTCAGGTTATATCTACAGTTTTCGAAAATTTCCCAGTCTCGTTTGCAAACAGATGAAGCTTTCGGTTTTCTCCCTCGATTAGGGCTTTCTTTTGCTTAGTGTAGGAAATCATAGTTTATTTGACGCAATTTGGTTGCTTAAAGTTCAATGCACCCTGTATGCAGAGTTCCTGCTGAATCCTTGAAAGGCTTTTGCCATCTATTTTGCAAACCCAGCTTGATTTTTCCTGCAAATTTTCCGAGAAAAAAATGTAACGTCCCTACTCGACCTGGAAGTTCGCTCAGACAGGAGACTTTGCACTCTGATATCGAAGCAAAATTGGACTAAATTTAATCTTCTACAAGTTTTATCAGCCAATCCAAACAATTAGGGATCACATTGCAAACATGCAAAAAATAATCATACCAATAATAGATTTATCACCGGATATGATGTTTCAATAATAACTAATGAAAAATGTTTACACATATAGGGATTATTTTAAAATAGGTATAAAAGTTGTGTGGCAGACCCAAGTTATACCAATAAATTACATTTTTATAAACAATTAAGTGAGCTTCGTGTCTAATAATAATTAAATATGAATGCAGCAAAAATAATAACTAATAGTAACAATATCATTCAGACATTCTTAATAAAACATATAATTACAGCATTCATATCGTTAATTAAGGACATTATCATAGTAAGCGTTTATCTGATTACAATTTTTCCAATAATTTTTAAAACTTGCTGTCAAAACAGATTTTCTGGGTAGATTACTAATAATTTGTTCTAACTTATATATTATGCTCATAACCTCTTGATTCCTAGCATCGAAACAGTCATCACAGATGGGTTGATCATGTTACTAGCAATTTTTCTCATTTAGACATGTTATTGACAATTGATTCAACATATTAATTTAACCAATACGAGATTCATTTTACGATGATAAAATTTATTTAAACCTAGTCTTCAGTTTTTTCTCTTTTTAGTTTTATTGTGAAGTTAGGATAAAAGCCGACTACAAATAGAAAATACGAAAAATAGGGGAAAAAATTGGAATTGAAATAAGAGACATGCAAACGTGAACCCACGTAGAATTAGGTTAGTTTAAAGATGAACGGTTAAAGTATAAAGAGAGCCGAGTTCGTCGCAAAACAATGAACAAACAAGCGTGTGTGTTCCAAAAAACAGCAAAGGGGGAGCATTAACCTAAAAGAAGAACGAAACAACCTTGCAAGAATTCTCTCTCTTTTCTTTTTCCCCCCTTACATTTGTTTCGTTTCTTCTCTGTCATCAGCCTCTACCCTCCCCCACCCTCTCTATTCAGCTTTTCATAGATTATTATTATTATTACCATTTCCATTTTATTTTTCGATCATAGCTTTCCAGGTATGTTTCTCATGCTTTGATTAGATTATAAATGTTGGGATTCTAATGATTTTAATTTTCCATGCAGCGTTGAATTCAATCTAAAAGAGTTATCTGCATGAAAAAAGCTAACAATTTAACATCCTAAGCTATGTCTTGCTGCGGAGGTGCGGAGGAGGAGCTCGACCGTCCACCACCGAACCAATATCAAGCTCCGCCTAGTCAATACGGTGGTGCCGGTGATTGCTCCCTGCATGCCCCCAATGTTATATTTTGGTTAAATTACGGTTTTGGTCCTTATTAATTTTATTTTTACAGCGAGTGGAAGAGGAAGAGGAGAGCCAAGGGGTGGCCCGACGACAAAAAGTGGGGCAGGTTCTGAACAAGTTCTACCGATTGAAATACCAGCCATTCCATTAGAAGAGTTAAACCGGATGACTGATAACTTTGGGCAACAATCTTTGATCGGAGAGGGTTCTTATGGCCGAGTTTTTTATGGAGTTTTAAGTGATGGTCAGCCTGCAGCTATTAAGAAACTCGACACTGGTTCTTCTCCTGAACCCGATTCTGACTTCGAAGCACAGGTTTAGTCGGGACTTTTTTTATAAAAAAAAATTAAACAGCTTCAAATATTTCGTTGACGCTTAAATCTATGATTTTTTTTTTATCAGTTATCAATAGTTTCTAGGCTTAAACATGATCATTTCGTGGAGATGTTGAGGTACTGTTTGGAGGATAACAACAGAATCTTGGTATATCAGCATGCAACAAAGGGATCTTTACATGATGTATTGCATGGTAAAATTTAAATTCTCAGTTTCACCATTCATCTGAAGAAGAAGGATTCATTTTTATTATGTTTGATTTATTAGGGAGGAAAGGAGTACAAGGGGCTGAACCGGGACCAGCTCTAACATGGAACGAAAGGGTAAAGATTGCATTCGGTGCTGCAAAAGGACTGGAGTATTTGCATGAGAAGGTTCAGCCATCGATCGTCCATCGTGATGTGCGATCGAGCAATGTGCTCCTTTTCGATGATTTCGTGGCCAAAATTGCCGATTTCAACTTAACGAATCAATCTTCCGACACCGCAGCTCGACTCCATTCTACTAGAGTCTTAGGTACCTTTGGCTACCACGCCCCAGAGTATGTCTTTCATTTTTTCAACATAATTAACACAGAGTTTGGTCAAATTTTTTTTAACTTTGTTTCGTTTCTAGGTATGCTATGACAGGTCAAATAACACAGAAAAGTGATGTATACAGTTTTGGAGTTGTTCTTCTTGAGCTCTTGACAGGGAGAAAACCAGTAGATCATACAATGCCCAAAGGACAACAAAGTCTAGTTACTTGGGTATATCTTATTTTCCCCTTTAAATACATACATAAGTTTGCGTCCCTTTAAAAGGCGTATCTAACTCATTTTTCAGGCAACTCCAAGATTGAGTGAAGACAAGGTCAAACAATGTGTGGATCCCAAGCTAAACAATGACTACCCACCAAAGGCAATCGCCAAGGTTGTATTTCTCTCGCGTATCTAATTAAAATAAATAAATAAATAATAAACACTAATTTCCAACCATGATATATGCTTACATGTTGGGGGGTTTTGTATTTGGCTATTACATCAGCTAGCAGCGGTTGCAGCACTGTGTGTCCAGTACGAGGGAGATTTTCGGCCAAACATGACAATCGTTGTCAAAGCTCTTCAGCCTCTTCTAAATGCAAGACCAGCAGGAGCAGAACCTCCTCCACCATCATAATGTATATATATATATATGTGTGTGTGTGTGTTATTTCCCATGTAATAAACAGTAGAAAAGGCTTGTGTAGTAGTAGCTCTTTTCTTCATGTTTTGTAATATGATCAAATATATTTCCCTGCAAGGGTTTTACTTTGACTGGAGAAGATGATACCGTTTCTTGGAGATTCAGTGGTATCATCTTAAAACCGATTGCAATGTAATTTTTTGGGGAGCCTGAAGTGCATTAAACTGATGTTATTTGTTCATCTGCTAAGTTTTCAATCTTTGTTTTGGTTTTTTTTTTCATGCTACTTTTGCTTATTGTCTTTTCCGGTTTTTACACACGATGGGCTCTATTTTGTAATTAAAAAGAATTATTCTCTGTTGAAATTTAAATGTCACTAGTATATTAATTACTTTCATTTCTCTCAAATTTAATCATATTAAAATTATCAAATTGATAATAATAATAATAATATACCAAATGAGATTTATATAAAATCTATCAATTTCCATCAATATGAGATTAGGTGATACTTTCTCTAAATAAAAAATATTTATTTTATTCTAGAGGGTTTTGTCTTTCTCAACACCCAAGATTGAGCCATATGTTTCTGCTACTAGAGAAGGCCGAGAAATGAAGTCCGTAAGCAAGTCAAAATCTGCATTGGATGAGTCCAAGCAAGTCTATCGTGGTAACAAGTATAATCAACAAGAGTACATACGCGAAGAAAGTGGAAGACTAAAAAATAAAATTATTGCAAGAAACAACCTTTCTGGACAAGATTCACTTCTTTCCAAGAAAGTTTGGGAGCCAGCAGAAGCCCAGAGAAATTACCCACGGAGCAACTCAGATACGGATATTACTCTAAGGTCATCTAGTTACAATGAAGGAGCTGGAGCTGATCATAACTTTGTTAAGTCACCTGGTGAGACATGCTCAAGCGAAGCATGTTTAAATTTGGGTGAAATTAATCACGTGCATAGCAAAGTTAACAAATCAAGCACTCTTGCAACAGATGAGGACTGTCATGTTGAAACTCAGGGATAAATGCTCTTCGCTGGATGCAACATCCAAGGAAGTTGGAGTTTGTGCTTATAGAAACCCTATCTTGAATGGAATTTCTCATTCTACGATGAGTAGCACTTCTAGTTCTGATAACCGCTCTTCATGCCTTAGCGAAGGAGACAGCAATACCTCCTCTTCTAATTATGGGAATTTAGAATCCCATCATCAGATTCTGAAGAGGTCAGTCAACAATCAGACGGGAAAGATACTTCAATCTCCATTCAAAATGGTTTCTCTGAGCATCAGGTCAAAGGGATTGATAGCATACAGCATGCAAATGGAGGGGTTGCTTTGGAAAGCCAGCCATTGTTTGGACACTCACCTAATGGTAGAGGTTCTTAAGTTTGCATTCAAAATGGTTTCACCAAGTGTCAAGTGAAAGGAATTGATAAAAGGATGTCAATATAGGGGTTGCTTTGGAAAGCCAGGCATCGTTTGCACAGTCACCAGATGGTGGAGGGAACAAGGTTCCCGGAAATCCACCGACAACCGTTGAAATTCCTGATAATGAAAAATCAACTGCCATTATGGGTTCTCAACATCAAGGCATGTTTCCATCAGTTCGTAACCAACCTGTACAGTTTCCGGTATATCAAGCTCCTTCAACCATGAGTTACTACCATAATAATCCTGTTCCTTGGTCAGCTACACCTGCTAATGGATTAATGTCATTTCCTCCTCCGAACCCTTACATTTATACTGACCCTATTGGCTATGGTAAATGGGAACTCAGGTTTATGCATGTCGTATGGCACCCTGCAGCATTTTGGTAACCCCTTGCTTAATCCTAGTCGGTTCCAGTGTATCAGCCAGTTTCAAAGGCCAATGGCTTGTATGCCGAGGACCATATTCAGGTTCTCAAGTCTGTTACAACAAAAGAAGCTTTCACCGGAGTCAATAACAGGAGGGTTATGTTAGGAAATAAACCGAGTACGAGTAATTTTCCTATAACCAGATTAGTGAGAATATAAAATAAAAGCGGAAAAATAATACCCGAAATTGATAACGGAGTTCAGCCAATTTGCTTACGTCTCCGGACTGCTGCAGATCTTTTACTAAGAGAGAAAATTTACAGGTGTTTACAAAACACTCACTACTCACAAGAAAACTATTTAGTATTGGGAGAAATAAATGATTTTTGGGATTTGGGATGGTTTTGAAGCTAAATGAGATAGAGAATTTATAGTTGAAACTTAAGGACTTAATCATGTAAATACCCTAAAGTCTAGCGACTAATTATGATTATCCCATTATAATATTTCAACAAACATCTACCAAACTTTGAAAAACTATTTTTCAAAGAAACATTTACCTAACTTTGAAAACCATTTTCAAAGAAACATTTACCAAACTTTGAAAACCAAATTTTCAAAGTTGGTTGCCAAACTTGAAAACCATTTTTAACAATACTTTCAACAATCTCCCACTTGAAGACTGATTTTAATATGTCTTCACACCTCGATCAATGCAGTAGCATTTCTGGTCTTGTTAGTCTAGCATGCCAATTGAAGCTGAACACAACTTCAGTTTGTCCGTGGTTACCGTCTTTGTCAACATGTCTGCCGGATTTTGAGCTCCACTAATCTTTTCAAGTTTCAAAATCCCATCTTCCAGAAGAGACCGGATAAAATGATATCGCAATTGTATGTGCTTCGTTCTGGAATGAAAAGATGGATTCTTTGCTAGATGGATAACACTTTGACTATCACAATACAAGACATTGTTTTCTTGTTTCTTGCCTAACTCTTCTAAGAAACTTTGGAGCCAAACCATCTCCTTGCTGGCTTCTGTAACAGCGACATATTCTGCTTCAGTTGTGGAGAGAGCAACTATCTTCTGTAGTTGAGAAACTCAACTCACTGCAGTACCTCCTAGAGTATAGACATACCCTGTAGTGCTCCTTCTGATGTCAACATTTCCAGCTAAGTCAGCATCTACATAGCCTGTCAGTATCGTATCTCCACCTTTGAAACAAAGTGCTTTGTTTGTAGTACCGCGCAGATATCTGAGGATCCATTTGACTGCTTCCCAGTGTACCTTGCCTGGATTATTCATGTACCTGCTAACAGCTCCCACTGCATGAGCAATATCTGGTCTGGTACAAACCATGACATACATTAGACTTCCAATTGCTGAGGCATACGACACCTTCACCATGTGTGCACGTTCTTCCTCCGTCTTTGGTGACTGTTCTTTGGAGAGTCTAAAATGAACACCTAAAGGTGTACTTACTGGTTTAGCATCTTGCATGTTGAACCTGGAGAGTACTTTATTGATGTACTTAGCCTGTGATAACATCAAAGTCCCCGACTTTGTGTCTCTCTTAATCCTCATCCCAAGAAGCTGCTTTGCAGCGCCCATATCCTTCATAGCAAACTGTTTCGACAATTTTTGTTTCAAGTTTATAATCTCTTGCATGTCTGAGCCTGTAACGAGCATGTCATCAACGTACAACAATAAAATAATGAAGCTATTGTCGAACCTCTTGATGTAGCAGCAATGATATGCTTGGCATCTGGTAAAACCACTACTACTCATGAAGCTATCGAACTTCTTGTACCATTGTCTAGGAGCTTGTTTTAAACCATACAAGCTCTTCTTCAACCTGCATACCAGGTTTTTCTTGCCTACCTCTATGAAGCCTTCTGGCTGCCTCATATAGATTTCTTCCTCCAAATCACCATGAAGGAAAGCTATCTTTACATCTAACTGCTCAAGATGTAAATTCTCTGCAGCTACAATTTTCAACACCAGTCTGATTGTGGACAGTTTTACGACTGGAGAGAAAATTTCATTGTAGTCAATACCTTCTTTTTGTTGAAAACCTTTGACAACCAATCTTGCTTTATAGCGTTTGCTCCCATCATGCTCTTCTTTGATCCTATAAATCCACTTGTTGTGGAGCGCTTTCTTGCCTGGTGGTAATTCAGCTAATTCTCACGTTTGATTTGATATAAGCGAGTCCATCTCATCTTTCATAGAAGACTTCCACTTGACTGAATCCTCCACTTGCATTGCTTCATCATAGCACTCTGGTTCACCATTGTCAGTCAGCAACAAGTAGTGCAAAGAAGGATAATATCGTTGGGTTGGTTTAGGAATTCTGGAGGAGCGTCTTAGTTTTGGTGTGACTGGTTCTTCTTGAACTGCTTCAGGACTGATCTGAACATCATTTCCAGAAATCTCCTCGAACTCAACAAATTCCTTTGTTTCAGCTTTGGTATTGGAGCTACTTGATTCTATGGTTGACATGTCTTTGTACATCACATTCTCATTGAAAATGACATCTCTGCTTCTAATGATCTTCCGATTTTCGTAGTCCCAAAACCGGTAACCGAACTCATCACCGTCATAACCAACAAAGGCACATTTGTTGGACTTAGCATCAAGTTTACTTCTTTCAGCAGATTCTATGTGTACATAAGAAATACAACCAAACACTCTTATGTGTGAAAGGTTTATTTCTTTCTTGCTCCAAACTTCCTCTGGTATTCTGCTATCCAAAGGAACTGAGGGCCCACGGTTGATCAAGTAAACTGCAGTGTTGATAGCTTCAGTCCATAGAAATTTGGGCAATCTGGCATGTATCCTCATGCTTCTGGCACGTTCATTCAGAGTTCTGTTCATGCGCTCTGCTACGCCATTATGTTGCGGTGTCATGGGAACTGTTTTCTCCATCTTGATCCCATTGTTTGCGCAGAAATCTCGGAATCTTCTATTTTTGTACTCTCCTCCATTGTCAGACCTCAACCGCTTGACTTTCAAACCAGCCTCATTTTCTACCACGACCTTCCATTTTTTGAAGGTATCAAAGACTTCTGATTTCTTCTTCAGAAAATAAACCCACACCTTACTTGTAGAATCATCGATGAAGGTGATATAATATAATGAGTCTGCAAGAGATGGTCACCATACATCAGTATGAACCAACTCTAGCTTTTCAGCCTTGGGTGTCTTACCAATCTTTGCAAAGCTGACTTTCTTTTGTTTGCCAAAGATGCAATCCTCGCATAGTCCGACATCTACATTCTTTAGATCCAACAACTTCCCCTTTGACAAAAGTGTCTTCATCCATTTCTCGCTCATATGGCCAAGCCTTTGGTGCCATAGGTTTGATTTTCCATCAGCATCTGCTACTGCAATGATATTCTCTAAATTTGAGGTTATATAGAGAGTACCAGTTTTCTTACCACGAGCAATGTCAAGTGCTCCTTTGGTAATCTTCCATTCACAGCCTGAAAAAGTTGTGCTAAATCCTTCAGCATCAAGTTGTCCTACAGAAATTAAATTTCTTTTGAGGCCAGGAATATGTCTCACTCCTTTCAACGTCCAGGTGGTCTGGTTTGGCAACTTTAATCGGATGTCTCCTTTTTCGACGATCTTCAAGGTTTCATCATCGGCTAGATGAACCTTCCCAAAATCACCACTGACATAGTTCTCCATGATTTCTCGACATGGGGTGGAGTGGAAAGATGCCCCTGAATCCAAGATCCATGATTCAATCGGACTGTTGACGCTTAGAATCATAGCATCACCTGTCTCCTCTATCACGTTGGCAGAATCCTGTGCGCCGATATTTTTTTTGGTGCTCGACAATCTCTTTTAAAATGACCCTTCTTGCCGCAGTTATAACAGGTAAAATATTTCTTTCTCATTCTTGATTTTCCCGTTCTGGATTTCGATCTACCTCGGTTTGAATTTCTTTCTGAAGTTCTCCCTCTAGACTCCGTGTGTAAGACTGAGGAGGTTGATGCTTCACCCGATTCTCTTCGTCGAATTTCTTCACTAAATACCAGATCCCGAACATCGTCGAATTTTAATTTACTGTTTCCCGACGAGCTGCTGACTACTGTAACAGTAGCATTCCAACTGCCTGGTAGAGATGATAAGAGAATTAAAGCTCGAACTTCATCATCGAATTCAATTTCCACTGAACTCAACTGGGTTGTGATTGTATTGAGTTCATTTAGGTGTTGAGCCACTGATGCCCCTTCCGCCATCCGCAAATTGAATAATCGCCTCATCAAATGAACTTTGTTTGAGGTCGATGGCTTCTCATACATACTGGAGAGAGTCGCCATAAGACCCGCCGTGGTCTTTTCCTTTGCTATGTTAAAAGCAACATTTCGGGACAACGTCAGTCGGATAACTCTGAGGGCTTGTCTGTCGAGAAGAGCCCAGTCTTCATTCTTCATGCCCTCTGGTTGTTTTCCTGAGAGAGGTTGATATAGATTTTTCTGGTACAGAAAATCTTCAATCTGCATCTTCCAAAAGCCAAAGTCCGCACCATCGAACTTTTCAATTTTCACCTTCCCTTCGTCTGCAGCCATCGCTCCCACTCGAATCTGGTTTCGTTTGGATCATTTCTGACAATTTGTGCGAACCACCGTGTATTATAACACCTCCGTCGACAAACTCGTATCGCCAACAAATTTTTTACTATTCACGAAATTCACTATTTACGTGAATAGTGATAAATAGTAACCTCGCAAAAATTGACAAAATTCACAACCAAAAGCTCTGATTACCAGTTGTTAGGAAATAAACCGAGTACGAGTAATTTCTCGATAACCAGATTAGTGAGAATGCGAAATAAAAGCGGAAAAATAATACCTGAAATTGATAACGGAGTTCAGCCAATTTGCTTACGTCTCCAGACTGCTGCAGATCTTTTACTAAGAGAGAAAATTTACAGGTGTTTACAAAAACTCACTACTCACAAGAAAACTCTCTAGTATTGGGAGAAAGAAATGATTTTTGGGATTTGGGATGGTTTTGAAGCTAAATGAGCTAGAGAATTTATAGTTGAAACTTAAGGACTTAATCATGTAAATACCCTAAAGTCTAGTGACTAATTATGATTATCCCATTACAATATTTCAACAAACATCTACCAAACTTTGAAAAACTATTTTTCAAAGAAACATTTACCAAACTTTGAAAACAATTTTCAAAGAAACATTTATCAAACTTTGAAAACCAATTTTTAAAAGTTGGTTGCCAAACTTGAAAACCAATTTTTAAAAGTTGATTGCCAAACTTAAAAACCATTTTTAACAATACTTTCAACAGGTTACTCCTGGCAGGTTGCATACAATAGAACAAGCAGCAAATGGAGAAGGTAGTCGAAACGATGTCTCTTCCAAATCACACAGGGATGACACTAACTTTTCCTTGTTCCATTTCGGTATGCCGGTGGCTCTTTCAACAGCATGCAAATCTAATCCCACCCCTCTGAAAGACGAGATTGCTGGAGAACTTTCATCTCAATTTTCAGCATCTCAGGTTGAAAATGATCATGCTTGCAATATAAAGGAGACTACATGCAGTTTGTTTGCAGCGAGTAACGGCATAATTAAGGTTTTCGTTCTAATATAATTAGTTAGGTAAAGGCGACTGATTGGTATTTCAGTCCCTGCCTTTATTTCACAGAATATGGACGTTTGTAATTCAGCATACAAAAATCTTTTACGGTGAAAGGAAATCCAATTTTAGTTTATAGTTTTTCTTCAGTGGATTGCTACCCAAAATTTCTCATTGTTTTGCACTCTTTTTATATTGTAGAGGATGAAAATGGTGGTTTGAGGCTTTATGTATTATTGTTTTCATTAATGAAGCTTTTGCTTTCTCCGAATTCATTTGGATTTTCTTCTCATTTCTAAATTGTTTCAGATTCCCATCTTATTTTTAGTTTGTTTGTGGTTTTCCTTTCTATGGGTTCGAGCTACTGTCTGCAGGGTATGCGAATGCGGATGTAGATGTAGATAAAAAATTCTAAATAGATAATACCTTATAATCTCTATATTATTCAAAAGAAAATCAAACTTAATTTGTACGAACAAGCTCAAACCGAAGTTATTTGCATCTTAACGCTTATGATCATTCGAATAGATTGAACCCCATCTAATTTTATGATTTATTATATTTAATAAAGAATGAAATAATTTGAACTCAAGTATAATAATCAAATTTTAAGTTAAAAATCCAACTCATTTGTTATAATAAATGAGTTTAATTGAATCTAATCAAGACCAAGCTTTAAAAATGAAGCTCACTCGTGCACAAAATAAGCTTTGAGCCTCGAATTCCAAGTCAAACTCAACCTTTTCTTTACTAAATTCAAATCAACTCATGTATTCATCTACTGTACTGAGTTCTAACCACTAAAGTCAAATTGTACCCCTCTAAAACAGTTAAACCTGGATCTGAAACAAAATAGAGTTGTATCTAGAAACTAACCAATTGGGTTTTTAATTCAATTGACTTCAATATTGTTGCAGACTCGTGGAGATTGTCGATTCGAATAGGCTTAGACATCTAATATCCTCTTAAATAGTACAATTTAGTTAAATGTTTAGGAGGTGAAAAGGTAAATTTAAAAATGTAAATGAATAAAAAACTAGCCAGTCAATCTAGGAGAAGAAACAGTTTACAAAAATGGGATCTTCTTCACCAAGTTCTTTTCATTTGGGGGGGGGGGGGGGAGGAGTTCAAATTTCACCTGGGAACCACAATCTGTAAAACCCCAAAGATTTGATTCAACAATGAAGACCATAGTTCTAGGCACAAATCCAAAAAGAAAAAAGTTAACTGTTCGGAAAATTTCAAAACAGCAAGATAAAATCCAGGGTCATCTATAAATTCAGTAATCTCAAAGGAATGATCAGCTGCAACTTTCTGTAACGGCTTTTTCTCCGGCAAGTTTCCGATTATAAGGTCAGGGAACTGTTTCCGTTGCTGCTCTAGCTTTTCCCTTCCTAGGGGATAGCTAATCACCACTCTTGCACCTATACAAAAGCCACAGTCAGAATCTCATATTGCAGAGGAAGCAACAAATGAACTCAATGGCTTAAACGGTTTTGGATACCAATACACGTCTAGCATCAGCATGTTAAATTTTGTTTTTCCATGTATTTGAAGAGTTCTAGGATAATTCTTACGAATGGCAAAACATCTCGAAAGTGTCGACTTCTGAGTTCTAATTGCACGACCTTGTAGAGGCATTTTTTATAAAAGAAAATTTGGGCCAGTCTTGGAACTGAACTTTTCTAATTTAGTCCTTGCACTTGTATCTTTAGTCCTTTCGATGATATGGCACCACGAGATTGTACCACGTTTTTAACTGAAAATTTTAAAAATATATCTCTCTTTTTTTTGGTGATGACACACACTAAAATTGTGTCATAACATCAAAGGGACTAAAAATTCAATTTCAAGGACAAAGTTGGGAAAATTTGTCAAGTTCAAGGACTAATGTAGACAAAGAAAAAAAGTTCAATTGCCAAGTTAATGACTGAACTCTGATCACTAAAACTAACAGTTCAAACCCAACATTCTATTATTAGATCGGACAGCTATTGCCTTCTAACCATGAAAATATAATAGTTATAGCACAAACAGTATATGATCAAAGTAAAAACTCTTCAAGGATTAAATGCTAGAAATTAAATGTGGATCGAAATGGATTACCTGATGAACAACGTTTAGCCATTGCTGCAAAGATCTGATCGAGTTCGAAAGGCACAGCAGGCAGGAAATAAAGAAATACAACATCCAATGGCGACCATTTCTCAGGCACATAAATCAATTCCCCTTGCCAACAGTTAACCTCATCATATTTTTCTTTAATCATGGCTAACACAAATATAGAATCATGGACTACAAGCAACAATTGGGTAGGTGAAGATTCAACTAGATAATCCACAAATCCTTCCGAACCGACCGAAACTAGAACCCTAGAAGTGTCCGATATATTTCCAGTGGATGTGATGCGTTCGATATTCTGTTTAGCTTGATCAGAATTTAACTCATCTGAATCAAGAAATGACCAATCTTTTTCATTGAAATCTTCAATATTGATAATTGACACCACCCCCTCACTCGAAGCATTTGCAGCTCCAGCTAATGGCTGGTGATTGTATAGTAGTGACTTATGAGAAAAAATGGGCTGACAAGAAAGGTAAACAGGTATCGATCACGATGAGAGAAGTGAGGACTAATATGTCGAGGTCGAGACTGAAGTTTAGGAAAGGACCTATGAGAAATTGATGGAAGGAATAAAGAGGAAGGTACCTGAAGCGACCCCATTGAAACTAGTGTGTTAAAAAATGGTGATAATTTCGGTCAAAATCGAGCAAATTCAAGCAATTTTAGAATACACCTTAAGATGTATGAGTTTATTGTTCATTATATCATTTACTAATTTTCAGTATATTTTAAGAAGATCAAGCATTCCCTACTACGCTACCCTCCTGCCATCAACAACAGTAAAATGTAAATGTTTTATGCTTTAACCATAGACTCAGAAGTATAAGATACAAATATGATATGAATTACTCAAAATCTACAAAAGATGAAGATTTACAATGAAAACTGGAAAGCCAAATGCATAATCATATAGCTAAGAAATAAGTGTAAACGAAAACTCGTAATTCTTATGAATGTTCAATGAAATAATAATATCCAAGCAGAAAAAATCTGGGTACCCATAATTCAGCATAAACAATTATGCCCTGAACTTGTATAAATCTGGGTACCCGTAATTCTTATGAATGTTCAATGAAATAATGATATCCATACAAGTTTCTGTAGAAAAAACAAGCGTTATTTGCAGAGGACCCTGAACTATTTTTATGTCAATGTTTCGAAAAGTTTGAAATATTTTGTAATGGTTGATAAATTTTGAAGGGAAATGCGAAGGAAAAGATAAAAGAGAAGCAAACTAACCAGGCAAAGCAACTTCCTAGAGGCATGAGCACAGCAGTACCAGCGGTTTACAGGTTGAGGAGAATATAAGGAGTGGAGTCGGCGCTAAATGGGAAGCCCATCTTGTTTTCAGTTTCGGCTTTTTGGGTTCCAATGCTCTCTCATTTGATCCACTTATCCTTTTCCTAAGGGTAAACTACATTCAAGGTCGCTTAAGTATGGATTTTTTTCAATAAATGTCATTTTTTAAATTATAAATATGTCTCTATATTTTATTTATTTATTTGAGTAAGTACAAGGTAATATATGTTTAAATATAACTCTCAATTATATGATATTAAATCGTTCACACCCTGACACCTCAAAGAATAACAATAATTCCTTTACTATTGAGGTTGCTTGGTTCGTAAGTTTCTATATCATTAAATATTAGACAAGACAATGTGATGATCTGGTACAATAATTCCTTTATCATACCTAACATTTCATTTTTCTTTCATTTTAGTATGTAGTCGATAAAAACTTAACAGAATATTTGCACTTGGTATTAAAATGAAACAAAATAAAATGTTAAGTATGGTTTTGAAAAATTGAAAGTTTAGGTGTTAAAACGGATCAAAACTCATAATTTAGATACTAGACACATAATTTATCCTATATTTTTATATAATAACATTTTAACAATAATTCATTATTACTTTATGACATAATGCACTTATTTGATTATTACTTTGATACGGTGACCAAACTTGGTTTTACAATTTCGTAAGAGAAAAATACTAAGTTAATAAAAATTTTAAATTTTAAATATTCAATTCATTATGTTGTTTTGAATTATGAAAAATTTAACTAAGTGCATAAATTCTCGAGATTAGAAATTATTATATTAAATTAAATTAGATATATATTTCAATTTTAATGATATAATAATGTATTTGTAACAAGATTTTAATTGAATAACATGTTGATGTTTTTTACCACTTGCCTTTATTAAATTCATAATTAAGTGGCATTGAGTGAAAGTTTTTTAATAAAAAAAAATTTAGGTGGCGTTTGGTTGGATGGAATCCCTTGGAATTGGTGGGAATTGAAATCCAATTCCACCATTTTTCCATGTTTGGTTCAAGTTTTTTCAAGGGAATTGAATTCCCTTGTTGGGGGAATTGAAATTTGACCATACTACCCTCATCAATCATTTGGTAACTTATTCATATATTGAATAAAAATATTTTTTTTATTATTTTGGGTCGGGTCGGGTTTCTAATTCATATATTCAGGTCGGGTCGGGTCGGGTGAAACTTTATTTTGGTCGGTTCGGGTTCGGGTTAGGGTAAAAAATTGGGTCGGGTCGGGTTTCTAATTCATATATTCAGGTCGGGTCGGGTCGGGTGAAACTTTATTTTGGTCGGTTCGGGTTCGGGTTTAGGGTAAAAAACCGGACCGACCTAAAAATATATATAATTCGGGTCGGATTAAGTCACTGTTTTTATTAAATAAAAATAATTTTTTATTATTTCGGGTCAGGCCGGATTTCTAATTCATATATTCGGGTCGGGTCGGTTCGGGTTTAGGGTGAAAAAAACCGGACCGACCTGAAAATATATATAATTCGGGTCGGGTCGGATTAAGTAACTGTTTTTATTAAATAAAAATAATTTTTTATTATTTCGGGTCGGGTCGGGTCGGATTTCTAATTCACATATTCGGGTCGGGTCGGATGAAATTTTATTTTGTTCGGGTCGGGTTTTTTAAGTGTGATATTCGGGTCGAGTCGGGTCGGGTTTTTTAAGTGTGATATTCGGGTCGGGTTCGGGTTTAGGGTGAAAAAAACTGGACTGACCCGAAAATATATATAATTCGAGTCGGGTCGGATTAAGTCACTGTTTTTATTAAATAAAAATAATTTTTTATTATTTTGGGTCGGGTCGGATTTCTAATTCATATATTCGGGTTGGGTCGGATGAAACTTTCTTTTGTTCGGGTCGGGTCAGGTTTTTTAAGTGTGATATTCGGGTCGAGTCGAGTAGAGTTTTTTTAAGTGTGATATTCGGGTCAGGTCGGGTTCGAGTTTAGGGTGAAAAAAACAGGACCGACCCCAAAAAAATATATAATTTTACCTTATATATTAGGAATTACAATAATACCCCTATATATAATTTTTTCAATTAAGTCAATATTTTATTGAATAAAAATAATTTGTTATTATTTTGAGTCGTGTCGGGTCGAGTTTCTAATTCATATATTGAATAAAAATAGTTTTTGGTATATTTTTTGGTAACTAATTAACATACTCCGATTGAAATGTATCGAAATATTGTTCTATCTTTTGGTAACTTATTAACATATTTTGATTGCGATGATTTTAACTTATAATGTTTATTAGCATGATTTTTATAATTTATTGAAATGAATAATCAATCAATAAAATGAAATTTTAATATTTTTTATTTTTTTATAATATATTACTACATGTAAGTTGTAAAATAAACTAAAATAAAGCAAAAAAACAAGAAGGGCAATTCTGTCATTTTACATTACTGAAATCAAATTCATCTGACATGTCTGCGAACCAAACAGAATATGGAATTGGATTCGAATTCCATTTCCTGCCAACTAAACAAAATATGGAATTGGATTCCAATTCCTACAGATTTCAATTCCTTCACAGATTCCAATTCCCTCATAAACATTCCAGCGAACCAAACGCCACCTTAAACTAAAACAAAGTTACTTATATTATATCATTTTCTTAAGTAATTAATTATTTTTTGTCAAAATAAGTCATTAAACTATTATATGTAGTTACTTTGAGTATCTAAACTATATTAGTTAAAATAAATTCCTAAATTATGTTTCATTTTTTCTTTAACCCTCTAAAATATTTTTTGATAAAATATACTCAGTTTCACGTGTCATGTCAACATTTTATTATTCAAAAATTATTTTTTAATTGAAAAAAAATATTAGAACTTAAAATAATTAAATACAATAATTTAAATACCTAATTTGATAAAAAAAAATTAAGTACCTAAAATAAAAAACGAGTAAAATTTAAGTACTTATTTTTACTTTTAAGCCTAAAAAAATAAGATTTTCTGCCCGTATCCACAATTTAGAGATTTAATTTTTAGCTAATTGAGTTGGTCCAGTACTAGTAATATTCTGCTTTAGTTTAAGTGACTAGTGGGGTAAAACAATTCCATTAATCAATGATATGGAATCATAAAAATAAAATCCAAAATCACAAGGTTTGAGTTTAAATTATTTAAACAACTTGATGGAAATTTATGGTTTCGTAATTTCACCTTTTCAATCACAAGTAATTTTGAGAATTTTCTTTTCTAAAAAAAAAAATTCACACCAATCGACCAACAAAATTCTTAACAGTGTCGGCGGTATGAACTAGAAAACAACAATTACAATAATGATAGGAATGTCGGATCATGCCAAGCCAAAATGCAGGGACTAAATCCCATAATTGAGTATAGTATAGAGATGAAAATCAAAATTTAACCATTTGTAATGATGAAAATTCAGACCGCTCCCCTTCATCATCATGCATCATCCTTGAATTTTCATACATTTTTTCTAATAAATTCCCATGAAACAGCAACAGATTTTCATACATTTAACAATACTTATTACAGTTAACAAAATAAAAGAAATCTAATAATTTATGGAAGCTTATCATTTAAAAAAAAAACAATGAATGGAGATATTAAAATAAAGAAGAAAAGTATGATACTTATTTTGCCCTTCCTTTTGCCATTGCCATGAATCTACTTCCAACTATTCGTTTTTTATGTTCTGCATTTCATACGAGTGTCATGGTTTTCTTTAGAGGGTGATAAAATAATTTAAAACTGCAAACTGCATACCTGTAATTATGACTGTCAATTACTCTCTTGTCATCTCTCATGCAATGACTGAAGAAGAGTTCATCTCATTCAGAATGCCGTAGTACATAAAGAAATCCGAAGTGCTGCGGAATCCAGGAATGAAATCTGAAAAGAATCTCAAGACCGCGGCCAGATGTTGGGGGTCATTGGAGGTAAATGCTGCTTCCAGAAATAACGAGGGCTGAATGCTAGTCACCTGAAACAATTTAAACTATGATTTGATGAAATGCCCTATGATACTCGGATTCAAGTGCGAGCTTTAGATGTGCATATGCGCTGAACACGGGTATGTTAGATTTTCTAAGTTTTCCATGCATTTGGAGGATCCTTAGAGGGTCAAATCAGGACATGGGTATTTCAAGGA